CCACATCTCTCCGAGATTTTCTGACCATCAAATCACGATCAGAAAATTACTTCATTGATCCTCCTTTGCAACATCTTCATATGGCTGTCACCTGTTTGGAATGTTTGGTGAAGGATTCCTCAGAAGATTTTTTTAACATTAGTATTCCAAGGTATGCTATTGCTGAATGGCCACATCATATTATTTTAGGATTACAAGAACAAGAACGAATTTGGGATGAAGCTATCGTGGACAAACTGGTATTGCATCTTGAAAATTTTGTTACATTGCAGGGAGAAAAATGGTATAATACCTTACAAGCTATGCATGAGGATGCAGAGGAGATACCAGGATGGGTAGATGCAGTGAAGTTGTGTCAGGTAAGTCATAACAATTTATTTAATTACTTACCATCAATATTTGAAATAAGGCAAGAAGAACATCAACAGCTGCAAAGACATTATTCAGAATATTACAAGATATCCTTGATTTTTATATTGTAAGAACAATTGACCTAAATGCACATATTCATTCATCAAACACCTATGACAGGAAGTAAGTAAAAGGAGTGTTAGAGGAGACCCCTCGTGACCTCATTGTTTACGCGTACGTTTTGTTTGTGCTTTTCGGACCGCATTTCTCCTTTTCTTTCATCCATACTTTTGCCTCCGTTATTTACCAGTCTTTACTCAAGCCACCGTTTTTCGTATATATAAACCCGAACTTTATTTCCTCTCACCTCAGTCGTCATCACATCGTGTCTGACTCTGAGGTGAGATCATTTCTACTTACATTTACTTATCTGAGACTTACGCTACCTTCTACTATAGTTCCGTACGTCTACAGGTAGCTACCCAATACAGTCGTCATCACATCGTGTCTGACTCTGAGTTCCGTACGTCTACAAAAGAACATAATGCAATACTTTAAAATTGACTTTCAGGGCTGATAGGAGGTATGTGGTAGAAAGCTGCATGGAAAAGCCTCACATTGTAATATCTGTCTTGACTGGAAGAGAGTAAGTTTGAAAATAATTATTACTTGCTATTACTGATAAGAAGTTCAGAAAGTAAGAAGTGGACCAATATTACTTTGAATCAAAGTTTATTGTATTTACAGGATGTGAGTGCTAAAAGGCCTATAAACAATATAGATGTTCTCATTATTCTATCAATTTCTTGTAGTTTGTGAGAAGATGCACTAAACTACTGAATAACATGTCATATTCACATTTCATTGCTGTTAGAAAGTAAGTTGAAATGTTTATTTCAGATAGTTTGGTACCTAATACTTATTTTTTATATACAACAAGATGGTATGTTATATTGCATGTTCAGCATGTGTAGAGTCACATTTTAGGTCTTTATCAGTGGGTAAGTAAAGACAACTTACAGAAAGTAAGTCAATACTTATTTGCTGTCTACATTGAGTTTTCTCTACAGGTGAGTTGCCCTGCTTTTCACTGTCAATCATTTGGTGACCCATTCTCTGAGCTTTCATCATATGTAAGTTTCCCTGCTTCTCACTGTACTCTTCTTGTGGCCCATTATCTTCATTTGGTTTCTTAGGCTGTGGGTTGCTCTGCTTTTGACTGTACTCTTCTTGTAGCCCATGATCTTCATTTGGTTTCTTAGCCTGTGAGTTGCCCTACTTTTCACTGTACTCTTCTTGTGGCCCATTATCTTTCATTTGGTTTCTTAGGTTGGGAGTTGCCCTGCTTTTCCTACTCTTCTTGTGGCCCATTATCTTTTTTCTTTCATTTCGTTTCTTAGCTTGTGAGTTGCCTGGCTTTTCATTGTACTCATCTTGTGGCCCATTATCTTCATTTGGTTTCTTAGAATGTGAGTTGCTCTACTTTTGACTGTACTCTTCTTGTGGCCTATTATCTTCATTTGGTTTCTTAGCCTGTAAGTTGCTCTGCTTTTGACTGTACTCTTCTTGTGGCCCATTATCTTCATTTGGTTTCTTAGGCTGTGAGTTGCCATGCTTTTTGTACTCTTCTTGTGGCCCATTATCTTTCATTTGGTTTCTTAGGTTGGGAGTTGCCCTGCTTTTCCTTACTCTTCTTGTGGCCCCATTATCTTTCATTTGGTTTCTTAGATTGTGAGTTGCCCTGGCTTTTTGTACTCATCTTGTGGCCCATTATCTTCATTTGGTTTCTTAGCCTGTGAGTTGCTCTGCTTTTCACTGTACTCTTCTTGTGGCCCATTATCTTCATTTGGTTTCTTAGCCTGTGAGTTGCCCTGCTTTTCACTGTACTCTTCTTGTGGCCCATTATCTTCATTTGGTTTCTTAGGATGTAAGTTGCCTGCTTTTCACTGTACTCTTGTTGTGGCCCATTATCTTCATTTGGTTTCTTAGCTTGTGAGTTGCCCTGCTTTTCACTGTACTCTTCTTGTGGCCCATTATCTTCATTTGGTTTCTTAGCATGTGAGTTGCCCTGCTTTTCACTGTACTCTTCTTGTGGCCCATTATCTTCATTTGGTTTCTTAGGAGGTAAGTTGCCCTGCTTTTCACTGTACTCTTCTTGTGGCCCATTATCTTCATTTGGTTTCTTAGAGGGTGAGTTGCCCTGCTTTTCACTGTACTCTTCTTGTGGCCCATTATCTTCATTTGGTTTCTTAGAGGGTGAGTTGCCCTGCTTTTCACTGTACTCTTCTTGTGGCCCATTATCTTCATTTGGTTTCTTAGAAGGTAAGTTGCCCTGCTTTTCACTGTACTCTTCTTGTGGCCCATTATCTTTCATTTGGTTTCTTAGCGTGTGAGTTGCCTGCTTTTCATTGTACTCTTCTTGTGGCCCATTATCTTCATTTGGTTTCTTAGGTTGTGAGTTGCCCTGCTTTTCACTGTACTCTTCTTGTGGCCCATTATCTTCATTTGGTTTCTTAGCTTGTGAGTTGCCCTGCTTTTCACTGTACTCTTCTTGTGGCCCATTATCTTCATTTGGTTTCTTAGGATGTAAGTTGCCCTGCTTTTCACTGTACTCTTCTTGTGACCCATTATCTTCATTTGGTTTCTTAGCTTGTGAGTTGCCCTGCTTTTCACTGTACTCTTCTTGTGGCCCATTATCTTCATTTGGTTTCTTAGGTTGTGAGTTGCCTGCTTTTCACTGTACTCTTCTTGTGACCCATTATCTTTCATTTGGTTTCTTAGCTTGTGAGTTGCCTGGCTTTTCATTGTACTCTTCTTGTGGCCCATTATCTTCATTTGGTTTCTTAGCTTGTGAGTTGCCCTGCTTTTCACTGTACTCTTCTTGTGGCCCATTATCTTCATTTGGTTTCTTAGCTGTGAGTTGCCCTGCTTTTCACTGTACTCTTCTTGTGGCCCATTATCTTTCATTTGGTTTCTTAGAGATGTGAGTTGCCCTGCTTTTCACTGTACTCTTCTTGTGGCCCATTATCTTCATTTGGTTTCTTAGCTTGTGAGTTGCCCTGCTTTTCATTGTACTCTTCTTGTGGCCCATTATCTTTCATTTGGTTTCTTAGCTTGTGAGTTGCCTGGCTTTTCACTGTACTCTTCTTGTGGCCCATTATCTTCATTTGGTTTCTTAGCTTGTGAGTTGCCTGGCTTTTCACTGTACTCTTCTTGTGGCCCATTATCTTCATTTGGTTTCTTAGCTTGTGAGTTGCCCTGCTTTTCACTGTACTCTTCTTGTGGCCCATTATCTTCATTTGGTTTCTTAGGATGTGAGTTGCCCTGCTTTTCACTGTACTCTTCTTGTGGCCCATTATCTTCATTTGGTTTCTTAGCTTGTGAGTTGCCCTGCTTTTCACTGTACTCTTCTTGTGGCCCATTATCTTCATTTGGTTTCTTAGAATGTGAGTTGCCCTGCTTTTCACTGTACTCTTCTTGTGGCCCATTATCTTTCATTTGGTTTCTTAGAGTGTGAGTTGCCTGCTTTTCACTGTACTCTTCTTGTGGCCCATTATCTTCATTTGGTTTCTTAGGTTGTGAGTTGCTCTGCTTTTCACTGTACTCTTCTTGTGGCCCATTATCTTCATTTGGTTTCTTAGCATGTGAGTTGCCCTGCTTTTCACTGTACTCTTCTTGTGGCCCATTATCTTCATTTGGTTTCTTAGAGTTGTGAGTTGCCCTGCTTTTCACTGTACTCTTCTTGTGGCCCATTATCTTCATTTGGTTTCTTAGAGAGTGAGTTGCCTGGCTTTTCACTGTACTCTTGTTGTGGCCCATTATCTTCATTTGGTTTCTTAGAATGTGAGTTGCCCTGGCTTTTCACTGTACTCTTCTTGTGGCCCATTATCTTCATTTGGTTTCTTAGGATGTAAGTTGCCCTGCTTTTCACTGTACTCTTCTTGTGGCCCATTATCTTTCATTTGGTTTCTTAGAGGGTGAGTTGCCCTGCTTTTCACTGTACTCTTCTTGTTGCCCATTATCTTTCATTTGGTTTCTTAGATTGTGAGTTGCCCTGCTTTTCACTGTACTCTTCTTGTGGCCCATTATCTTCATTTGGTTTCTTAGCCTGTGAGTTGCCCTGCTTTTCACTGTATTCTTCTTGTGCCCATTATCTTCATTTGGTTTCTTAGCTTGTGAGTTGCCCTGCTTTTCACTGTACTCTTCTTGTGATCCATTATCTTTATTTGGTTTCTTAGCCTGTGAGTTGCCCTGCCTTTCACTGTATTCTTCTTGTTGCCCATTATCTTCATTTGGTTTCTTAGCTTGTGAGTTGCCCTGCTTTTCACTGTACTCTTCTTGTGACCCATTATCTTCATTTGGTTTCTTAGCCTGTGCGTTTCCCTGCTTTACACTGTACTCTTCTTGTGGCCCATTATCTTCATTTGTTTTTTTAGACAGTGAGTTGCCCAGCTTTTTGCTGTACTCTTCTTGTAGCTCATTATTATCATTTGGTTTCTTAGGATGTGAGTTGCCCATTTTTTCACTATACACACTTTTCCAATTATTCTCTGGCTTTGCTTTTCTTAGGAAGTAAGTCATCCATTTTTTTATCAGCCTACTGTAGGGTATCATTCTTAATTGTTATCCTGTTTTAGAAAGTATGCCACCCAGATTTTCATTGGCCACCCTTTTGGTGGATTGTATCTTTCCTTTTACAGCTTGTAAGTTTTATGTTGTAAACCTCCATATTATTACTAATACTCACTTAATTTTGTTACCAGCTTATTATCCGCTTATTCACTGATTTTTTGAACAGGTTTGTTGACCCCTCATTCTTATACATGCCTTTAAGTAACCCATTTTTTCCCCTTCACCTTCCCAGGTGGTATGGTCTTCATACATTTTTAATTCAATACCCTCAGTGTGTAACTTTTTGTCCCAGATTGTGCGTTCCATTTACATTTTACACTGAACTGCACTTACTTTTTATAGCTTGTGCGTCACCAACTTTCTTACCCACCAACACTAATTCCTCCATTTCAGCAAGTATGTATTCTCATTTTCCTTCCATTTCTTCATTCTAACATTTATTCATATAAACAGTGGGTTAGTCAACTTTCATATTAGCAATTCAGTTCTATAAACTTTTACTCATATTCTCTAGAGGGTATGTTTTGTCAATCCTCAACTGCCTTGAGTTAAAATAATGTGCCATAGAATTATCAGAAACAGATCTGAGATAAAGCAAGGCATTTAGTATCGAAATCCTGACGTGCATGAGGATTGACATTGCCATTGTTGCCCATCTTGATGAAGCTAGTAGATGTTACATATGCTTGGTACAGGAACTAGTATGAGATTGTAAGGGAGTGTTGAACATGGTCCTGGTATTCATGAAGAAGGGATATGGCAATAGAAGTAATTGGTTCTTGTTCAAGTGAAATGACCCCATTATGGTTCTGTCTAATGCCCTTGAAGGCCATAAATGTGCTTATAAGGTTTTGTTAGAGTTCGCTTGTCGACTCGCGCGTTGGTGTATTCCCTTGAATATAAATCTGTTAGTTACCGTAATTGAATAATGACTTACGTGTTAGATCTAGCGTGCAATGAGTATACGAGAGGTTGAGTGCGTAGTAATATTCCTAGGTCACGTGTATCTGGACTTGGCGCGTTCTACTATGAACGCGCAGAGTTTGATTTGACGAAGTACGCCGTTAATCAGAATCATTGGTACTCAGACCTTAACGGTTTTGATTAGAGCAATTGATAGCTCGAAGCCTTATCAAATACCACTAGTACGGCTGACTTAGTCTTGAATCAAGATCTTAGTTCACACAGTGTTTTTAGGGATAAAAGTTAGAATGAATTCCTTGCCTCAACTTACAAGCGAACTATATACCTTAGCTACTGATTCTAGATTCCTATGGAACAACTGAGAACCTTCCACCATGTTTGGGTTCCGTTGTCAGTTCTTGAACTGGTGGTAACTATTGTATTCGTACTTGTTTCTGTTTGGTCACTCCGCGTTTGCCAAACAGTATCATACAGTCGCGTCGTGTGCCACAATACAAATGAAGACATATGTGATTTGGGTATACTATCACTACGTTTAGTGAATGCGAGACTAGATATTAAAGAATACAATTGTAGTAACCTAATTTGAGTAAGAGGGAACAGTAAGCACAGTGAGCAGGGAACAGTAAGTAGAAAGGGTACAGATGGTACTATAACAGGTTTGAAATGGTGTTGAAAGCCTGTGATGAATCATAGTGGTAAGGTCAAGTGGAGTGTACAAAATAGTTAGTTTTGTAATATTTGTTGCCCATTTTGGGAGCTACATAAGGCCAGTTCTTCAATGTTTCAATGACCACAAGAATTGAGCAACTCATAGATGTGGAACACTTTCTAGCATAAGTGTCCTTCAGGAAGTGGGACAGCCATAGTGAGTCTGACGGATATGTGGACAAAGGTGTGTTGACCCTTGTAGTGGTTGCAAGTGATAGCTAGATGTGTGGGATTGTAGAACATGACAGTTCACGGTACTCATATCCTGATCTCCATGGACAGTTCGGATGGAGATTGCTCTAGTGCTGTTCATGGTCTCCTAAGTTCCACAAGTCTTCTGAGAGCTTGATGTAGCCGTTAGTAGGGCTAGGTATCAAATGATACAGAGTAGATGGTGGTAAAGAAGATATATTCACCTCATGGTATACATGAGGTGTAAGTGCAATGCTTATGTAATGAAAAGTAATCAAGCTATAAGTAAATGCAAACACAAATGTAGGAACAAGAGTTGAATCTCAGGGAGTGGGAAGTCTCAGTGCAAAGAGCAGTGGAAGCTTACCAAACTGTCATGCCCCACTTTCCACTTTCCGTTTATTCCAATCATTGTTCGGGGAATGTGATGTCGTCAAGGTGTCTCTTGTGCCACATGATTTGTAGTCCTGCCTGTGAAATCCCTTCCATAACATCTAGTGTTCATAGGTCTGGTTCAGTCTGTTTTTTTGCCCCGAAAACAGGCAACCACGGACCGTAACCAGTCTAGGACTGACCCAGATATTGAGGGAACCGAACTGGACCACCTAGGACCAGTCTTTTGCAGTCCATGGACTGTGTTCAAACTGATTCAGACCGGTTTTTTTGCGTAAAATTTGTCATACCAATATAAACCATTTGTATCTCAATTATTATTACTCTAAAACATAAACTGGTTATATATCATAGTAAAACATATAAATACCCATCATTCCACCAATTATTAAGAAGTGTAATGAAGGTTTGACATAGCTATGACTGAAACCAAATTACATCTCCTAAAGACTCAGGCAAAATGTAATGTGGCAACTGTAAATTATTTGATGCATACCATATATTGATAGATAATGAGTATATTTTCATACTTAAAATGTCAATATCGAAAAATTGAATCAAGCAAAATGATGAAAGTTTGAGTGAGTTAGAATTAAAGTCATTCTGGTACAAGTTGCACAAACAAGTATTTGTGCCAAAATGGATTTGGTTATATCTTTCTCAGTTCTTAACCGTTTTTGATGAACCAAAAACCCAATTAAAGGTAATAAACATGGTTACAAGGCTATGTAACGCACGTGACCATTTAACTGGTTGCAACTGATTTAAACTGGTGTTTGAACGGTTTTAAAAGATTTTTTAAATGAGGCAACTGGCAACCAGACCAACCCCAAATTTGGGCAACTGCAACCAAAAAAAAGACCAGACCATGGTCGGGTTCAGTTCGGTCCACCGGTTTTTTTCGGTCCTATGGACCAGACCTTTAAACACTAATAACATCTGTGAAGTCGAGGTCTTTACACTCCCTGGTATATTCCATATGGAATATTTTTATATGAGTCCCCAGCTATTTTTTTATTCCATAGCCACTATGGATTCCATATGATTCCATATAGAATATGGATGGAATGATGGATTCCATGGAATATTCCTGGTGGATTCCATTTGGATTCCAAACAATTTACTAGGCTCAGTCCATAAACTATTCCAGGTGGATTCCATCCGGATTCCAGCCATAGATTGACTTTCATGAATTTGTCAAAAATAGTGTGAACATCAAGAATTGAACCCTCAATCACATCAACAATAGCAGCACTCAAGCCAACTGAGCCACGGAGGCATTATTATATGCCAAATACTGTCATGTGACCATTACCGGGTCACTTTAGCTTAAATTGCAGATTGCACGCCTCCCTCTCATTGGGAGCACATAAAATTTTGCGAATGAGTAGGAGGAAACATATACATATTGTATCTGTAAGTTTTATTTTGGAGGGATACTTTTTGGTAGTGTTAAAATGCCTTGACCCCTTTGCTCTGAATTGGTCAGCCCCCATAAGCCAACTGTAAAATATTCTTAGACACCCCACATTCTCCTTATATGATTTAAAATTTTGTGTGGCCCAAAAATTGATATGTGGTATGGAAAACATAGGGTATGTGGGGAAGCAAGAACCGATGGAAGTTGCAGTTAGATCTAAGAAAAGTGAAAACGAAGATGTACGTGTGGTCATCGAGAGCTAGTAAATATCATGTAAATCCCGTGAACTTCCAGTCTGCCGGGAGTACGAGATAAGGATGCTTCCCGAGTTCAGCAGCACTTGGACGCTCCTCAGGATTTCTAAGAATATCTGCATCAGCAATTCTCACCATAAAAATCCGACGGAGAAACAGTACGTACATCGCAAAACATTTTCGTCTAAAGTCATCTGCAAGCTCCGATAGGATGAGATCTTTGGGTATTGGCGGCGGGAGTTTGGCTTGATACAACTGTAAAGTATTAGTCACGAGATACAAGCACGAGAGGCAGAACATACTTTAAACAATACAGCTACCATTTCTTCTCCCATCCAGGGCCGCATACCGGCCCACATCTCCAACACAACACAGCCAACACTCCAGATATCAGTCTTGAAATCATACCCCTTCTTCTGGGGGCTGATGACCTCTGGAGCCATCCAAAATACCGTTCCCTGCATAGGCGTAAACGCCTCCCCGTGAAGATCGTCTGTTTGCTTTGATATTCCGAAGCTAGATATCTTGCATTTTCCTGACATTTCGACGAGGATATTGTGTGCTTTCAGATTCTAGAATTGGTTATTAACAAGATAGTACGACGATTAGAACAAGAAATGTACTCGGTGGAGGATCCCCTTTGAATGTAGATATTCCAGGCCACTCAAGATTTGGGCCGTGAATGACTTGGTGACGGATTCAGCAAACTTGCCATGTTTGTCTAAACATTTTCCAATAGAACCGCCAGGGACGTATTCGAGGAAGCTGTAAATTTTCTGAGTGGTAACTCGTAGATCATGTCGTGATAACTTACATGTTCAAGTTTGCGGGTGTCTCCTCGAAGCCAAGGTATTGTACAATGTTCGGATGGTCAAGATTCTTCAAAGTTTCGATTTCAAGCTCTAACGCTTGAACCACCGCCACCTGGCGGAGGTCGTTTTTGTCGCTGGGAGTTTGCGGACGTTCTACTTGTTTCACTGCAAACATCTCCCCTGTCGATGAATTCAGCGCAATGTAAACGCGACCGTGTGTACCCCTCCCAATCAGTTCTCCTTTGATCCACTTTAAGGTAGCTATAACCGACGTCAGAGATGATACCAAACGAGCATAACGTCATGTTACTCACTAGGAGACGACCCAGGCGGAGGCGAACTGGACGTACTCTTAGCAAACTCTGTTGTCATTTCTTCCATTTTAAGACCCCAGAGCTTACTACTCCTCCTGCGAGGCATATTGTTTGTATACGACGTTGCGTCCGCCTTGGGAGTACGATCAATGCGTTTCTTGTGTTCCTCGGTGACAATGCGAATCGACTTGGCTCTGACTCTTCCCTCCTCGGGTACTGGCGTAGGAGGGGAGGCAGCAGTCGTGAAAGAGGTCTTAAGATCATGTTCTGGGAAAAAGGCTTCAAGACGTTCATAAACGTCCTCCGGTGGCGGACGAGGAGCCCATGAATCGTCCCCTCGCATTTTCCTATCAACAGGTTTATTCGGTCGAGGAACCGCGGACGGACGATAAGAAGTGGGGAGCAGTGCCTGGGGCGGGAGCTGCAGATTCATACTGGAAGACTCCGTCGAGGTTTCTGTTTGCACCTTCAACGGTGGGCGCGGTACAGATTTTGGCCTCTCACTTGGCCGTACGATCCAAGTGCCCCCGCCTGGGTCAGAATCATCGTCATCTTGACTGTATGCTGGAGTTTCGCTTGTGGAGGATGACGGAGGGGGTGGTGTGAGTGACTTTGTAATTTTTCAACACGTGGAACATACCGTGTGGAACGTTCAGCGTCGCCCGCCCTGGAATGACGATCAATGCGTTTCTTGTGTTCCTCGGCGACTTGAATGCTAATTGACTTTTTGGCTCTGGCTGTTCCCTTGCTGGGTGGTGTAGGAGGGAGGGCCCTAGGCTCCGCAGTTGTAGCAGAGGTCCCACCAGAGCTTGCCTCTGTAACTGGTTTATCAAGGTCGTGTTCTGCGAAAAAGTCTTCAAGAAGTTTATAAACGTCTTCCGGCGGCGGACGAGGAGCCCATGTAGGGCTCCCGTCAGAAAATGTGCTGTCTCGCATATCAACAGGTTTTTTCCGTGGAGAAACTCAAGAGAAACTGCGGCCGGACGATAGGAAGGTGGGCTGGGGCAGAATTGGGGTAGAACCTGCAGATTCACACTTGAACTTGATTCAAGCTTTTCTATTTGCACCTGAAACGGTGTGCATGATGCAGGATTTGGCGGGATTTTTGCCAGAGGTACTTAAAGGTAAACCGTAAAGGCAGTACAGCCCACTTTGTATCATGACATTGATACATGATGGCGCTTGTGATTAATGTGGATGGCAAAACCTCCGAAGCCATTCGCCACTCGCCGGCTTGGCGAGTCGAGTACGCGAGAGCTTGGCAAATGCTGGCGAATGCTGGCGAATGAAAAAATTTGAATTTCTGTCGTTTTGCGCCAAAATAGTATCCTATTATTATCTTTGATTTTTTTCTCAGCAATCACAATCATTTTTCGTCACTGACTCACTGCTGAGGCCTGCTTTGGGTCTGTGTAAGTATTGTCGAGATCAAAATTGGATGGGATCAACGGATCGGAGCATTCAAATCAGGAACAAGAATTGGTTTTCAAAGGGAATTTGGGGAATTTGGCCTGCAGTCAGAATTTTCCGACGTTGACAACCATAGATGATATTTTATGTGCCCATAAAGGTCTGTTATTCTCTGAAATTTTGGCAAACTTCGCCAGGTCTCGCCACCCTGTTTTTAATTTTTTGTTTCGCCAGCCGGCGATCGCCGGCTGGCGAAACTGGCGTGGCGAGCTGGCGAGCTGTTGCCAACAACACTACTTGTGATGTCGTGCATCTCGAAACGAAGTTGATCACAGCGCGTCACGAAACGTTACACTCATGTGTCACGGGTACCGTCCAAGTACCCCCTAACGAATACAGCCTACCATGTCAATCCCGATCTACGGAAACTACCACGGGTGAATATCTTTTTCACCTTACCCAAAAGATTGAACTCCAACGTAACTTATTCAAAGAAATCCAGTTACTACTCCAAACGCCCAACGGTGAACGACGCCAGGCTCTCTGCACTCCCCGAGGCCCTTTTCCATGGCGCGATAGTTCTTGATATCGGATGTAACGAGGGCTGGGTGACTTGTGAAATTGGTGTGTATTTCTTGTTCATTCTGAGCCCACAAGTTCCCTCAAGGTTTCTTGTTAGCTCAATCGCTGGGACCGCACAAAGTAATCGGAGTAGACATCGACGACACGTTGGTCCAGGCTGCGTGGAGGAGGAGGCGTACAGTTTGGTCTTTACAAGGCCCTTCACCCGCCACGACCTCAACGTCCAATAACGTGGGCGAGCGTTCCTCAAAAAAGCGCAAACTAGAGGTGGAAGCACCTGTCGTAGGTGCAAGCACCCGACGTCGAAACTACTTCCCTCTCTCATGCGAGCACGAATTCGGCTCACTTCCCATACCACCATCCACAATCCGGGGAAAACACGCCTTTCCGCACAATGTCTCCTTCAGGACGGCGAATTGGATTCGGGATGAGATACCGGAGGATGCAGAGGGTTATGATGTAGTTGTCGCGTACGCCACTTCGGTCTTCGCCTAATTGTCAAAGATCTCTGACAGGTTTTCTTCTACAGATTCTCGGTCTCTAAATGGATTCACCTCAATGAAGGCGACGAAGGCCTGAGGCAATTCTTTCGTAAGGTCCACTCGGTATTGAAAACGGGCGGGGCATTCGTGTTGGAACCACAGCCCTGGGAATCCTACGCCAAGGCTAGGAGGATGAGCGAGGCAAGTTCAATATGGCTCCGTTGATATAGTAGTCATGTTAATTTAGCGCATTGCAGAAGCTCAAAGAAAACGCGAAAAACCTGGTGATACGACCGGAGCACTTCAGCGATATACTTCGAGATATCGGATTCGAGTCACCACGTCACTTTGGTTCGATCGGTGAGGGTGGTGAGTGGCTCCTAATCCCTCATAGTTCGTGACTCATCTTTGAGTGCAGGATTCCATCGGCCCGTTGATATATATACAAAGCCCCGAGTCAACGTTTAAGTTTTGGGACTGGCTCGGGCGCGCTATCACTGATACTCAACATTCTCTTCTGTATACAAACCTGACTGCCAACCAATCTAGTAGCCACTCGACGCGGACGATTCCTTTGCAACGCCTCTTGTGATTTGGATGCTCTAATCTCTTATGACAACGTGCCTCTCCATCTTATGGTGCATGCAACTTAACGTGTTTTGGACAACCTCAATCCCGCGGGGAATCATCTACCTTCTCGGAAAGCCAGCTTGATATCCCACACCATGTTTGTGGGTGGGTGGGCAGTGGCATCTCTGCCGCACGAGTCAGAGAGTCCTGAAGTGCAAGGCCGACACGGGCACGTCTCGGGTGTGGGGCGCTCAAGTCTGCCTAGTCATGACCCAATGTAAGACAAATGTCCATCGTTCATAAAAATAAGTGTAAGATAAGTAAAGATGAACCATCCCAACGTCCAATCAATTCACTAGGAACCATTGGCCCTCAAATCCCTATGTATAAACATAAATACTCATCTCTACCCAAATCTCCGAGATGAAAGTTCAACCTCTTTCACGTTCAAAGTGGGCCTGTAGGTAACCCTCAAAGCCTCCCAGCAGGTAAGCACTCCGCATCCCAATCATCGGGTACCAACTCGCTCACTCGTTCCCGGAACGCAGCGAGCGTACAAATTTCAGGGTGGCCTTCTAAGTGTCTGCCTGGGCCAGCGCACAGGGGAAGGATGAGGTTTTTGTGCTGGTATCGCATTCGGACGTCTGGTGGTGTGATGGGAGTCAGTAATAATGAGCAACCTAAGGGAGATACGAACAGTGCTGTGTGGGGGTTGTTTTTACTAGGAAGGGCAAGAAAGATTGAGGGTAATTGGGAGATTTGTCCTGGTTAGCCGAGTCACCCGATTTCTTGAAGAGTTCAAAGGTGATCGCAGCTGTGAAGGCTGGCCATCTATCAGGAAACATGAAGCGGGTCAGACCAAGCGAAGAGAAAAAGAAAGGTACACGGCGTACTTCTCATCAAACACATCCAAAGTAGCGCACAACCCCGCAATGGCAGTATCATGCGTACTATGAACGAGAATCTTCAAAGGGTCCTTATCCCCATGGTCGACTTTATGCTGCATCTTGCCTATCATGTCGCCCAGCAGCGGGCCCATACCTAACCGGCGGACTTCTTCGGTCTTATCTGGTGATCACCAATGAATCATGAAGGAAGATCAGTTAGTTATCCGGTGGGTGTGGTGAAGAGGGACTAAAACCATCTCACACCCTAGTTTGGTTGAAAGTCGAGGAACGAGTTAGACGTGACTCAGGTGGGTGGGGAATACGTGCCTGCGAACCATTCAGTCACTACGGCCCTTTCCTGTGGAATATGAGGAGAAGATAGTTTGGGACACCCTATTTACGTACGATGAGATCAATGACTGTCGGGTCTTCAAATTCCGCTGGGACTTTTAGGCCATGAGCAGTCGCTGCACGGACCTATAGCGAGGATAAAACCATAAACGCCAATGACAGGACTATGTGGTACCAAAAACGCACCGTATCAAGAACGCCCGAAGCTCGTGGTTTGCCGTCTATACGTATTGGGTTCCCGTCGAGATATTTGGAAAGCTTGGGGTCAAGATGTTCTAGTGTATGATTGAACGCTTCAGCAGCGGCTGTTCAGGCCAAATGTCGTTGAGCACAAATTGCAAAAAATTACGTCGGAAAAAAAGCTTACACACCTTTCGCGAAACTGACGAGTAAAATTTCTAGACGTTTGCATCCGTAGGTGTTACCGATCAAGTTCTCGTCTTTTCCGTTGCTGAAGAGGGAGGGCGAGTTGATGGAGTCTGAGTTGTGTTAAGTAAGAAGGTATGAATCTGTACCGTATCAGAATGGGGGGTATGGCGGCCGGGTGGCACTTGCTTGTAGGGTATAGTCCGTGGATGATTTGCTGTAGCGATTCTGTAGTTCTTGGGATATTTGTGGTACTTGCGGAGTCGCGTTAGGAGAAGGAGAAGAATCGTGGGTTATGGGGAATGCTCACCGGAAGTACACTGCTTTTGTGTCTTGGATCGTATCTGGGAGAAATCCCAACCTAGGATTGCGAGTTACGCCTGGGTGAATAGAAAGAACGATCAGGCTGACTTCTCTATATAAAGCCTTCGCAAGCCTTTCCCGAAGCTAAAAGTGGACTATGCTTGCCGTCAGAAACGGTATTTTAGGACTCTTTTAAAGGACGCACCTGTCTTCCGATATCCGTCAACTCGCCTAATAGACTGTACACAGCTCTTGAGCACGAGCCTATGAAATATGAGGAGAAGAACTCACCACTCCCCATCTGCTGACCTCCCATCGCGTCTCTCCACAACCTTCCTTGTCTGAGGGACCTCGGCCGTATCTGGGTTTGCATTCACGAACCCTGTCACAGCGGCCTTGAACCGGCGAGCCGTTTTACACATCATCCAGTGTTCTGGAATATTTGCTGGAGGGCCTGCAAGTCGGATACCAACCGGGGTGCGTTCGCCTATTCCCAACAAAGATGAGTGACCGTCGCAGCCTGGTAATACGGTACGTACCATGGCGCACGTATACGTGCACCTGCTCCAGTTGAAGATTCACGGGTGCAACAGTGTAACCAGCGACGTCAAACGGAACCTGTGATGGATACGGAACAAAATAATCTCCTTTGTACGGTGGATTCGATGATCTGTGAGGCATTGTAAAGTCACTTTGTGCGGCTTGGTTGGGTATCCTGGCGCTGACAGATATCAGAAAGAGAGCAGAGATCGACAGTAGCAATAAGCCAAGATAACTTTTGTTTTCAGGTCTCATGTATCTTGCAGACTTTGTGGAAGGCGAAAAAACTCACCAAGACGCTTGCTCACGGCCCCTGTCGAAAGGTCACACTTGTCCTATGTTATTGTGACCAAATTGTGACATAGCCCTTTCACTTGCCTTTCACCACATTTTTTTTCTGGCTTATTCGACTTACTCTTTCTGCTTTCCCTCTCTCTCAGATACGTGTCCAAGATATCTGCGCTATGAAGGAGTTCTAGTGGACTAAACCTCTTTGGCCTGCCCTTTCTTCCGAGGTGGAGAAATCGCAAGAGAAATTGAAGAATACGGAGTCCTTCACGCCCGAATGGGAGAGGGGTAAATTCCTGGAACGAAAGATCGACTTGCTCTTTCAGTCTTCTCCTGGACGTGAAATCAGGCAATACCGAGGCTCTCCATAATCCACAAACCAAACTCATGGTCTACATGAAGGTATAGACATATCATAGACTAAATCTCGCATCAAATTTACTATTCGAGAAGCAGCGGTCCCAATCCACCAAAACACACATCTACGCATCCTGGATCGACTTCAACTCAGCCCACGTCGACATCCCAAAGAAACTAGGCAACTTATTCCACATATTCTGCCTACCTACCGAATGCCGCAACTGACAGTACGCCACACACTCCCGACAGACATGAAGCTCATGCCACCTTGTATACTGCCTAAGCGGGTCCAACGGGTCTTCAGCTTCCAACGCGTGCCACTCCGCATAAGGGCCTCTTGCATACGCGCACAGCCGAGACCGACACCACGGGGAACGACGAAAATTGAATAGGAACGAATGGGTCATCTTCATCACTGCCAACCGGAGGCAATCCCTGCCAACGAGGCACTTAGACTTCGTTTCCCAGTCTATATCGCCTTCTTTGCGCGTGAGTACCCTCCGGCCGCCCATACGCGCGACGCAGTAGTATGCGTAGGGCAAAAGTTGGAGGACGTGGTTCTCGTAAGCGAGGTTGATGACGCGCATGATGGCGTCGGATTTGATAGGTTCGTAAGCCCTGAGAGCGGCTTTCATCTTGTACGCCGCGAATGAGGTGGGGAATTTGGATGAGAGGAGGGAGATGCAGCGGTGCCGGAGGGAATGGAAGAGGTATTTGGTGCTGAGGCGGAGGATGCCTGATATAAAGTCCAGCAGGGGGTCGAGCTCTGCTTCTTGAGGGAGGTTGTCAAAATGGCTTGGGGAGAGTCAGCGGAGGGTCGATAGGAAGAGGATCGGAGAAGCATACGATGGGTGGTAAACTGCCTTTAACAGATCCACGACATCTTCGACTTTGTCGTCGTAGAGCGGTACGACGTGACACCCATCGACGACGGCCTCTCCTGATGGCTGAGGTACTGTAAAAAGACCAGCAAAGCATTCCGAGTGGTTAGATAGGACTGTCTGGTGGACGCGGAACAAGGTGTTTTGGACAGAGAAAATAATGGATCCGTCGTGGAACCAGAAATCTGGGTGTTGTGTCGGCGGCGCTATCGCTCCAGTGGTGTCTGAATCCATGTTTCGGGTGTTGCCCTAAAATTCGACAAGAAGAAAGAGGAAAAAAAATCGAAACGATGGAGAAGAGAAGCAAAGGCAAGGAAGAAGTGAAAGTTCTTGGGTAAACACATTGGAGGGCCAGGCGTGCTATAAGTATCTTGTCGAGTCGAAGATTGAGGAGGTTGAAGACTCTGCGATCGGGGGCTGTGCGAACATGAGTCTTGGATCAATTTTCGCCTCGTGTTGACACCAAATAAATCTTACATAATCTTCGCACTTGGTTGGTACTTTCGTGTTTTACTTCTATGCTTGGAGAAAATGCAACATATTCCAGTGCTCATCTTCGAGAGCGGGACAAGATCCTCGAAGAAAAGCACAGGAAGGAAATTGCCGTTATTGAGCGGAAAATCGAGCGGCTCAAATGGTCCAACAACGACACCGTGAAACAGCTATTCGAAGCCCAGAACCGTTGCCAGCGTCTTGCGCACTCTCTTGGGTTCAAAGACATATATGAGGCTCAGGTTACGATTGATACCGCCGACTACGACACGTCTTTCAAGGACTCTTTGGAACGCGTTCATACGTTGGAAGTTGAGTTGCTGGCAGAGCGGAATGAGGGCGAGAGCTTGCAGGAAAAGCTTCTTCTCGCGGAGGAGGAGAAGCGTCAGATCCAACTCCAGCTGGAGAAGATGATTGCGGATAAACAGTATGTGATCGTCTCTGTTTTTTTGGAACAACGCTGACTCTATGTGGTGAATTAGACCCAAACCATCGTATGCGAAGCTCAAGGCAGAGCACGCTGACCTTCAAGCGAGATATAACGCGTTAAAAGACGTGAAAGAACGCGCTGCAGAACGATATAAGGTCGACTACAAGAAATGGCGCGACTTTAGCAAATGGTTGTTCACAGAAGACGACAATCACCGCAAACATCGAAATGAACAGGGAATCTCGGCAACGGAGAAGAAGAAACGCGACTATGAAAGTATCATGAGGAAGAAACAGAAGATGGTGGATTTCGCACCTGATCTGGCGCAGTTCGCGGGCGAAGATGATGAAAATCCTAAAGATCCTGAGGCCGCGACGACGCCGACCCGTCCTCCACCCCCCATTGGTCGCATTGACATCGAGGGAGATAAGGAGAATCAGGAAAATCATTCTACCCCAGTCCCTTCGCACAAATCGCATCGCATATCATCAGCCCCACCCGTCACCAAGTCGACACCTCTTACCAAATTAGCACCACTTTCGAAATCAACTCCCCCCGCATATAACCTTCAATCACTCAACAACAGGATTCCCTCTGCGCCTTCATGTTCGCCCACCATTTTTCTCGATCCCGCCGTCCCAACAACAAGTACCCGTTCTGTGTCAAGTACGCGAGTCCCCCTTTCTTTCAAGCCAATACCCAACACGGAACCGCGGAATACCATTGTTATCAAGAATGAACCAAATTCGAGTCCCACAAATTTGAGTGACGCTCTCAAACGGCCACATTCTCCAACTCTGTCTCCCCCAGTTCCGAATTCATCTGATACTGAGGAAGATTCCCAAGGTTTATCTCTTGTCGTTTTTTACTCCATACGTTACTGATGTTCACACACCAGCCATATCATACCCCCTCACCACTACGGCAAAACCTGTAGTTTTCAAGATACCAGCACCGCCTCTTGTCCCTAAGGCTTTGAGGTTGAACCAAGCTGGGGGATCTTCCGACACAGAGGACGATTCGCAAGGTACATAGTCATTTTTTTCCCATTGGTTCTTATTCTTACCGTTGCAACTTAGCTCCCGACCCAACCCCAGTTCCACTCCGTCCACGAGAAGAGTTCCCGACCTGTCCACCTGTTGCCGTCGCTGGGCCTTCTACTGCACGACAAGGTGGCTACGGAGCTATCCAGCCACGACGGCCTGGTCAGCTTGGCGGGGATAGCAGCAGACCCAACAAGGTGAGGAGAGTGAGTGGGAACGAGTTTGCAGGGGGGTCTAGTTCGAGTCGACCGCAGCATGACATAAAGGATCAGCTTATACCGCGCATCTCGGATGTGAAGGGAAAGGGAAAAGAGAGAGAGGAAGATTTTATTACTCCGTTGACTAGCCGAACGGTTGGACAGAAGCGTATTGAGGATTATTCGGCGTTTAAAGGAAGGGGAAGGTATGCTAGAGGGGGTGATGCAAGGTACGATTAACCAATCCCTCCTTCCCGTCGCCTCACTTCATTCATTGGTCTAACTCGACTTTAGCGCTGGCAAAACTATCAACACTTTATTCACCATCGACCCAGCTCAGAACGGTGGAGTTGACTACCAGTACGACGAAGTTGTACGAGGGAAAGAGCAACGCCGGCACATGAACGCAGGAGACTGTGAATGTTGTCGAGACGTGAGCGGTTCCCAGTTCTCCCAACTTTATCTCATACTGATGCCCTGGACAGTACTACGAAGCCGTTGGCCCCCTCCCTAATCGCTTACAACAACCACTATGGCGCTCACCTTCCAGCAAGCCCTGTGCACGACATTCTTATGAAAACCTCTCTTCTTCCACATCTTCAGCCCGCCGTGATAAAGGTTCTAGTTCCTCCCACGAACGCGAGGTCGACACACACAAAAAAGCCATCTCGCGTCATCGACATACGTGGGCACGCGCGAATACGCCGCCTGGGTATTGGAATATTGGGTTTCCGGATACGCAGGAGGTGGGAGATATTAATGAGAGGGCTGAGGAGATGCATAGGAAGAAGAGGGAAGAGGTGGAGAGGGAGGTTGGGGGTGGGGGTGGGAAGTATCGGAGGAGGTAGGGTTTTGGAGGGAGATGTGACTGAGGAGAGGGGGCTTTGCTGTTCGTATGTTTTTCTGTGTGACTTGCTATCTTTGTAACATTTTTTCACCTAGTCTATCCGCCTCTGCTTTGGAAACTCAAGCGCTTGCGCTGTTTTCTATGCTTGTGGGCCATGTTCTCCTTTTCTGCAGCACAAGACTTACTAGGTCACGGCCCTAACACAATTTGAGGTGTCTGTTTTTCATGTCAGGTTTTGCTACAATCTCGAGGTGGACAATGATGTCATAAATCATGAGCTAATACCAAAGCGCTGTGGGCTTCAACGGCCGTCCGCCGTCAAACGGAAAGGTAGTTATAGACCACACTTGCATACTTTTGCGTAATCGAGTCTAATCGAGTCGCTCCCGCCTTCTAACATACGTACAACATATTACTTTCATGAGCCATAATTTGCTTATACTTTCAGGGTGGCTACCGAATTGATTCCGTCAGGAGTAAGAACAAAAGTTGCTGCGAACACTGTATGTTCCTTCCACGCGCCTGGTTGCGACATGCCCAAGCACCGTCGTGGGCTTCTTCGCTAACCTTTACACGCACCCTCACCATCTCGTCAGTTCAGGGGCCCCTCGAACCACCACTATCAACCAAGACGCTCCCAGCGTACTTCACCACAGAGGTTCTACGTAAACATGCCCACAGGCCCGCATTGATTTGCAGGAAAGAGAAGCCCCGTTCTCATGGTGGACCGCCTTCACGGAACCTTGGTTCCCCCTCACGTCTTGCATGGGACTTTGAAGAGTTCGATAGGCATATAAACGCGCTTGCTCGGGGCTTGCTAGGGATGGGCGTGAAGAAAGGGGATAGGGTGGGGGTTATTATGGGGAATACTAGGTTCGTCGTCGTTCCTTGACTCTGCTGTTCAACTAGTTTAATTCTGGCTCTGCAGTGCGTACGCGATGCTCCAGTGGGCCTGTGCAAGCGTTGGCGCTATTTTGGTGACCGTTAATCCTGCGTATCGTATACAGGAACTTGTATGTTCCCTTCGTCATAATACCCTAAATTCATTCAATGACGCCAAGCTCGAATTAGGTCGACGCCTTGAAGCTCGTCGGAGTCCAACATCTCTTTGTAGTCCCCCGCATAAAGACATCCACATACGTCCGCATGCTGGCCGAAGTATTTCCTGAAATAAGAGGGCAAAAGCCAGGGGAGATACAGATAGCCGAACTCCCGGAGCTACGAAACTTGGTGGTGATAGATAACGTCGAAGAGGCACGCGAGGATCTTGCAAAGTTACACATCAAATCTATGGTCGATTGGCGGGAGGTTCTGATGTGGCGTGACGATGCTAGGGAGAGCCGCATACTGCAGGAAATCATGGCAAGCTTGCGAAATGATGATGTCACCAACCTTCAATTTACGAGGTTCGTGTTATGCTTCTATAAGAAGGAAGCCATATTGATGGAACATTTCATTTAGCGGTACTACTGGTCTTCCAAAGGCTGTCTCGGTAGGTATACACACTTATCTGAAAACGTAATGATGTTCCCATATCAGGATTAGCTGACGCATTCCAATCTCTTGAATAACGGACTTTCGATAGGACGATGCATGTATTTGACGGACAAGGACGTGCTGTGTATGGTTTATCCCCTCTTTTTCTTTGTAAGACTGAATCACCTGCAGGCAACGTTCCTCCCTTATTCCATTGCTTTGATAAGTTCCTCTCTGTCATTCCACCCTCTCGCAACTCATAATGACAATACTATACGCCTCGTCCTAGGAAATTTGGCAGCATGGACCCATGGGGCATGTATCGTTTACCCCTCCGAGATATTCAATCCCGAAGCCATCGTGGACGCGGTCGTTGAAGAAGAATGCACTGCCCTACACGGTGTTCCCACTCATTTCCTAGGCGTCTTGGCCGAGGTCGAGAAGCGAAGACAACTTGGGGATGAAGTCGATACAACTAATTTGCGGTAAGCTCAGTGGCTCCTTTCAAATCTTTGAAGTCGTAGCATATTCTGAATCAGGTTATTAGCACTGGAATTGCTGCTGGCTCCCCGATCCCAATTGATTTGATGAAGAGCCTGATTTCGAAGATCAATCTAACAGACCTAACAAATGCATATGGCATGAGTGCGTTTTTTCGTCCTACTTCACTTGAATGCGAAGTAATGAAAGGATTTTTGGGGTAGCCGAAACCAGGTATGCCCCCAAATTTCTTTGGATGAGCGGCAGTATACTTACAAAGTCGCCAGTCCTGTATCCTTCCAAACGACGCCCGCCGATCCCATTGAGAAACGGGTGGAAACGGTCGGAAAGGTCCAGCCCCATGTCAAGGCAAAACTTATTGACTCAGAGGGTAATATCGTTCCCGTTGGGGTCCCAGGAGAGATTTGCGTTGCTGGATATTTGTTACAGAAAGGGTAAGTATTCGCAATTGAGTTTTTTTTGAATGAGAAATGACGGTGTGATAGGTATTGGGAAGATGAAGTTCAGACAAAGGCTGTTATGAAGGTTGACGAGGAAGGCACTTTGTGGATGCACACTGGCGACGAAGGTATAATGGACGCTGAAGGTTATCTTCGGAGTGAGTAGCCCTCTCCTTTGTGATCGTTCCATTGTTGATGGTCTTTGGCAGTCGTTGGCCGTATAAAGGTAGCGCGATTGAACCTGAGTGATGTCGCAAAGGCTAATTGTTAACAAGGATATTATCATCCGTGGTGGAGAGGTACGCCGGTTATTTCTAACTTTATTATAGTACGGACTCACTAGATATTTCATTCAAAGAATTTATTTCCAGTGCAGATAGAGAATGCAATGACTTCACTCCATGCCATCCGCGAGGCTGCAGCAGTCGCAGTGCCGAGTGAACAATATGGGGAAGTTGTTGGGGCGTGGATTGTCCGTGAACCGGGCACCCACGTCTCTCGGGAAGAGGTTCGCAATCATGTCGCGAGCACGATGAACCCTCAGGTGAGTTTTCTTGTTTCCGTGGAATAAAAATGTTCATTTCTAATTCTAAATACCGATCTAATACAGAACGCCCCGGCATGGGTGTGGTTCATCGGTGAAGATGGCGTGCAAGGTGAATTGCCCAAGACAGCAAGTGGCAAGGTGATGAAGCATGTACTCCGGAAGTGGAGCAAGAAAGCTGTGGAATTGCAGATTGGGCAGGTCTCACGCTTGACCCAGTAGCTATGTTGATGTGAAGTTGCCTGCAGGATGTTTGTCCTTATAAGCAGTGAATTTGAGTTGATAGATATTTTTAATTTGTCCTCCACATATTCAAATTTTATTTGCTGAATATATAGGCAGTGCCAGAACTTGGATCTCCAGCCCTTTGACTTCATGTATTTTCCCATGTTGCCTCTAGATTTTCAATTACATATATAGATGTTCAACTCTGGAAATCCTTTCCCTTACATCCAGAACTGATCTCCAGCTGCTCTGAAGACTGACTCTGTGTATCTTCCCAAATCCCAGGTCTCCAGGTGTCTGGCTGAAGGCTGAAAAAAAAGTGACCCCCCATCAATTTCTGAATTTTGAAAGGCAGTGATGTTCCATGGATGATGATGCATCTGAAGCTGACATCAGTAAACTATGTGCACACGTATAGTGTCTGATATCCAGCTTTCCGAGGATTTCCCGGAAAGTAGAAGAGGTTGCTGCCCCAGATTTCCAGAGCTTGTACAACCTCTTCTTGGATACGCCTGCCGACCGTCTTCTTAAGGAAGAGAGTCATCACACCTTCTCATCAGTCTCACTAAACGTTCATCAGGAATACGTGTTGTTAGCAAGCTTCTATGAGAACTCTAGTGTTTGAAAGTCCGGTTCGGTCCGGTTTTTTGATGCCCAGGGACGTTAACCGTAACCGTAACCGGTCTGCCTTTTCCCCAGAAGTCAAAAGACCAGACCGGACCGCAAAAAGACCGCAGACCGCGGTTTTTTGCGGTCTATAGACTGGTTTCGGTCTGCATCAGTTTTAACCGGTTTATGACCGGTCTTTAGGCCAATATTTTAAAATTATGAATCGGTAAATTTATTAACATCTCTAATAGCTTCAAAACGAGCCCAAGAACGTTAAATTCCGTTAGGAATTGGTGCTTCTATAAAATAAGTCTGGTACATCTATTATTCCCAAAAGTAATTTACATTTTAATTCATATCTCTCTCGTTTTTTTACCAAATCGTACGTTCTTGGGTGCGTTTTAAAGGGTATTTAAGGGGCTACAAAAGACCGGTCCAAACCGGTCAAGACCGGTTCACGTTAACCGGTTTTTTTGCGGTCTTTACATTTCAAAAATAAAAGACCGTAACCGCAGGTCCGGTCTTTTGCGGTCTTGGTCCGGTCTGGTTACGGTCTTTTTCCAGTCACGAGACCGGACTTCCAAACACTAGAGAACTCACAGAACACCTGCTACAACCGCCACCTGCATTGTTGTCGTCCATCTGTCTCAATCAACATGTGGCCATTGTTGTGTGTCATCATCCTCATCATTGGGTCACATTGCTCAGTGTAGCAGGGGGTGAGGTGTTGACATGGCAGTGTTGTGGCAGTGGTTATGATGGCCGCTAGGTGGGTTGTGGCTATTAAAAAGGAGAACAAGAGGAGCTGGTGGGGCTTACAATGTGATGTGCTCACCTGTCTAGTGTGGACAGTGATGATGGTATGTGTTGTCACCATCTGGGATGATGTGGCACATCCATGTCCTGTGTTGTAGTCACCTGGTAGTTCTGTATTGTTGTTGAGTTGTTGCTGTCCTGTGTTGGCGTCGCACCATTGTTGTGTTGAAATGCTCAGGTTGTCGTGAGCACTCGGGTTGAATAGGGACCCTCGCAAACGCGCGAGGTTTTCTAATTTCAAGTAGCTACCCAAATACGTAGTATAATTTGAAATATATATCATCACATGAAGGAACAACACAAACATTGTCTAATCTTCATGAACATGATCCGCTTGTAAATCCAACACACCCCCACAAGCACATCACAGAGTGGAGACAAACAGAGTAAAGAAACGCACCCCCCCAGAAAATCAACAAACAACGCCCTGCAAAACTGCACCTGTCTTCAAAATGCGACATTGTCTTCAAAATGCGAATCACAAAAAACTGCTGCCACCACCTCACCCTTTGATTTCTTTGACTGCTCCCAGGCTCGCTTCTCTGGGCAATCAGACTTGAAGTGCCCCTTTTCATCACAGAAAAAGCACGTGACATCAGCTCCTGCAGTGTTCCGCGCTCCATGACCCTTGCCACTTGTAACTGCCATCACTTCATCCTCTGGGTCCTTCGCAATGTTTGAGTCACCAGATTGTCGCACCTCCTCGTTCAGTAGGTGTGCGATAATGTTGTTCAGGGTGAGCAACTTGGAAAGGGTTGCATCGAAGTTGATGATGACAGGGTCATATGAGGGGGGAAGTCCCATGGTAAGTGCCAGTATCTTGTCTTGGTCACTGACTTCAACTCCAGACTGCTCCATACGAAATGCAAGGCCCTGAATATGACCAATCCAGGCCTGCATCGACTGTCCAGCCACCTTCTTTGCAGTTAAGAAGTGTTGCCAAAGGGCCAAGCTTGTCGCAAAGCCAGCTGCACGATGGACATGCTCCAAAGTCTCCCAAATATCAAGCAGGTCTCAGGATCGCATATGCGATAGCTGGCCATCTTCTACACACAAAATCATCTCCGCTCATGCCTCATCCATCCTTCCAGTGTCTTGTTTCTTCTTCGCCTCCTCCAACTCTGCCATAATCGTCAATATGGCTTTGACCCCCCCATCTGCATCTACCCCTGAGATTGGAATCTTGACCATGGGCCACAGGCCCCACCGGACGAGGATGGCTTCCATCCGAACAGACCACTCGGCATAGTTGGAGTTGTTAAGATTTGGAAAATGAACAGTTGTGTCAGTCATAGTGGGAGTGGGGATTATCACAGCCAGGGAAAAGGTGAGTGGAGAGTCCTTCAAAAATCTTCTTCGAGTTCGTCAATTTCTTCTGCAGTGATATCGGGCTGTGGCTGTCCTCTGCAGATGTTAAGGTTCTGCAACCTGTGGGGTGACTCTAGCTTGGTCAACTGCACACGAACAAGTGTGTCGAGTAGGAGATGGGATATTGGGATAAGCAGTGAGGGTATAACATGTGTTTGTGTTGAAATGCTCAGGTCATCGTGAGCACTCAGGTTGAATAGGGACCCTCACAAACACGTGAGGTTTTCTAATTTCAAGTAGCTACCTAAATACGTAGTATAATTTGAAATATATATCATCACACGAAGGAACAACACAAACATTGTCTAATCTTCATGAACGTGATCCACTTGTAAATCCAACATGTTGTATTGTGTCAATCTGGATGACAAACAACAAATTAGTTGTTGCTCGTCATTTGGTTGGCATGTTGCTGTTAGTGATGTGGCACCTGAATGTTGTATGAGTAAAGGAATGGGGGGCAGGGGTTGTGTTAGCTCACCTGGTTTGGCACATGACATTGACATTGTCCTCATTGTCACATTGATGTTGCAGGCACTCATTTTCTTGCCAGAGCTGGTGACATGGCGTTGCCATGTTGTTCTTGTGGTGTTGGGGCATGCCAGGCTGGTTGTGGGTGGGTTGTGGTGGCCATTGGTGATGGTGGTGGTGCGGCAATTGTGAGAATTGTGGATGATGGTGGTGGTTGAGGAGTAAGGTTGTGGGCAGGTTGTGGGACGTCCAAATCAAGTGTGGCCAAATGCCAACAATCAATAAATGAAATTTTGTCTAAGTCCTCAACTCAGATTTGGGCATGGCCACATGACAACAGCATCTAGTGAGCTCTGTTTAGTTACTTTAAACAGTGGCATGGTGCAGCTGCTAGATTACTCTCTCCTTCAGTCATGTGATGTCCTGTGGAGTTGTGGGTTCAATTCATGATGTTTGCACTATTTTTATACAATTTATATGATGGATGGTGAAATAGTCAAGCAATGTTGGCATTTCAGGCAGAAGCTACTTGGTCTGCTGACACTGTAGGGACAACAATCAAGGTCTATGGGGAAATGAGTTGAAAATATTGGAAGCTATTGAGTCTATGAACAAATGAACTGAGTGTGCCTGGACTATGGGTGTATAACCAGAGTTTATCAACACTACTCAGGGCAATGGAAGTGGCTCTGGAGCCATGTCTGGAACAGTCAATGGTTTTTCAATTTTCTCAAAAATGTGCATCTAAGAAGTAGGGTACTTTACCCTGACTACATATGTAAAATTGTAGATCAAGAGCAAAAGTTGTTCAATTTTAACAGATTTATTTTCAATTTTGGATAGATTTATTGTAACACAGTCCAGATCTTGATATAAGTACAGCTCTTTTGCACATGAAGCTCAAGGCAATGTCAGGAAATATTAATAACATACCAGTTGCCCATGTATCAGCATTTGATAGCAGTGCAACAAATTCTTTTTACCTATTGATTCTTTTTTTGTTGCCTGCTGCATGGCAACATGCCATTAGGACAGAGAAGTGTATGTAAGTGCTTCCACATACCCTGAAATATTTTATTAGCATTGACTCATACTTTGATGAACAATTACATTGAGTAGAACTGACTTTATATGCTCAGAACAACACAATTTTTCTTTCCAATGGTTCAAAAATGCATTCTGGGTTCAAATTGGAGTATCCTACAATTTATCACAAGTAAAGTGAGCTATTCAAATATTTTTCTGGCCTGTGGCACATAACACAACAAGAATAGCCTGTAGGGAGGTGAACTGCTCAAGCAGCTGCCTATTTGGGTGTTAATCCCAATTGGGTGTTAAATTTTCCCAGGTTCCAGAATAGGTGTTAACTACATTACTGTGATTTCAGACATTTTGCCTATCAAAATTTACTGACCACATAAGTAGAGGTAAACATAAAATACAGGTATTTTTTTTCTCAGCCTGCGGCACAAGTTATGGTTTTGTGGAAGATTGTGTGTGTTAGAGGCTGCCTGCCTATTCAGGAGTTAATTTTGATGGCAATCCCAATTGGGTGTTAATTTTTGATTGTTCCCAAACAGGTGTTAAATAACACCAGATTAGGCATTATTTTGTTCCAGACATGGCACCTGAGCCATGGAAGCTACTGACTTTCTATACAAAACTACTGAGGTTACATAATCAATCAGAAAACTACATATACATTTTCTTTTTCCTGATGGTCTTTTTCCAGTCACAAGACCACTTCAGTCACCCATTTTAGGGTACCTATGAGGTACATCAATTCCTTGATTTAGGGTACCTTGAGGGTACCCATTCCAGGGTGGTTTATGAGCTCGATACCAATACCATGGTACCATGGAATGGAAAACCCATACCATATCCCACTCATACCATACCATACATACCATACCATACCATGTTCATACCATACCATACCATGTTCATACCATACCATACCATACCATACCATACATGCCATACCATACCTACCATGGTCATACCATACCTTGGCAGGATTTCTCCTAAGTTATTTCAGCTGTTTCAGAGACTTAAGCTGATAACCTACCCCTTAGAATTCCTTATGACATTCCAATCTGAACAGGTAAGATAGATGTGTATTTATTAGCTACATGAAATCTATTTTACATTATTTTACATCAGAGGGAATAGGGAGGTAGAAGGGAAGGGGGATGTTCAAGGGAAGGGGTAAGTTGAAGGGAAGAGGGAGGTAGGGAAGATGTTGAAGGGAAGACCTAGGGGGGAGGGAGGGAAGAGGGAAGGGATGGAGGGAGGCAGGCAGGCAGGGAGAAAAGAGGGATGGGGGGAGGGAGAAAAGAGGGATGGGGGGAGGGAAGAGGGATGGGAGTAGGGAAGAGGGATAGGGGGAGGGAAGAGGGGTGGAGGGAGGGAGGGAAGAGGGATTGAGAGAGGGAAGAGGGAGGGAGGGAAAGATGAGGGAGGGAGGAAAGATGAGGGAGGGAGGGAAAAGGGTGAAAAAGGTAGAGAGAGGGAGGATAGAGGGAGGGAGGGAGGTAGGGGCGGATGGAGGGAGGGATGTGGGGAGGGATGGAGGGAGGGAAGAGGGATGGGGAAAGGGAAAAGAGGGAGGGAAGAGAGATGGGGAAAGGGAAAAGGGAGTGAGGGAGGGGAGGGCGTGGTGTGTCCCGTTCGTGTGTGGTGGACGTGTGCCCTTATCGCCGTTCGTGTGTGGTGCTTGTGGGTGCTTGTTGCCATTCATGGTGGTGGGTGCTCGGCTGGTAGTCGTCGTCATCGTTGTCGTCATCTGTTGTTGTTGTCCATTGTTGTTGTACAGCGTCGTTGTCCATCATCTATCATCATCATACGGCGTTGTTGTCCGTTGTCCATTGTCCATTGTCATTGTTGTCCGTCATTTGTCGTCATTGTGCGGCATTGTTGTCTGTCATCATTGTGCGGCATTGTTGTCTGTCGTCATTGTGCGGCATTGTTGTCTGTTGTTGTTGTGCGGCATTGTCGTCTGTCGTCATTCGGCATCGTGGTCCATCCTCATTGTTCGTTGTAATCGTCGTCGTTGGGTCCTGCATTGTTTTGTATGTGTGCGGTGTTGTGTTGTTTCACAACGTGAGGGTGGCCGCCCATCGCCTTCCCTTTGGGGGAGTGGTGATGTGGGGTGTGCGTGCTGTCAACCGCCAGTGAGTGGTCGACGGCGGTGGTGTTGTGTTAGTTGGGTGGGTGGTGATAGAGGTGGGGTGTACACACCATCTGCAATATGAGACGACTATGACAACGATGACTAATGTCATCGACGTCGTCATCCCATCACCGTTGTCATATGTTGATGATGGTGGTGGAGGGCGTTCACAGTGGGTGGGCGCTCATTGCCGTTTCTTGACACCAGTGATGGGCATTCGTTGACGGGGTGCTCGGCCCTTGTTTCCATTCGAGGATGGTGGGCAGTGGGTGTGGGCACTCGCAAAGTGGTGGTGAGCGCTCGTCATCGTTTGTTGGTGGTGGTGGATGGGCGCTACGAGCTGGTGGATGGGCGCTGGTGGCCGGTTGTCGTTGCTGGGCCATTGTGTGGTCCTCGTGTGGTGCTGGGGCCTTGTTGCCATTCATTGTTGGTCATGGTGGTTGTTGTCAGCGAATGTCGTGGTGGTTGTTGGGTGCAAGATGGCATGTCACAAAGTGTGATGTTAGTGTCCATCCTCAAATGACAAACACACACCTTTGTAATTTGTAGTGTCCCCTTTTTTCTATTACAATAGTTTGTATTGCCCGTTAAAAGTTGTAGTCTCGTATTTGTAGTCTCGTATAAGTTCATAGTGTATGGTCAAATCTTTTAAGGTACAAAAATTGGTAGTGTCTGCTTTTTTAGACTACAAAGTTTTGTAGTGTCCGCTTTTTTAGACTACAAAATTTGTAGTGTCTGCTTTTTAAGACTACAAAAGTTTATAGTGTCCGCTTTTCCAGACTACAAATATTTGTAGTGTCTTGCTTTTTCATTAGCAAAGTTTGTAGTGTCCAATTTTTTGACTACAATGATATCCTTGACTGTATAGGTACATGAAAATAAAGAAGTTGACTTTATACAAAAAGCCCTCCGTCATTCAGTCTTTGTACCTTGCAGAGAATTATAGTCAAGACTGACTATTGGAAAGGGTTGCATAGTGGCAAATGAGACAGGATGTCAGAGACTTCAGTCTTAGTACAGTTGAGGCTGACCACAGGAGAGGGTTACATAGTGACTGCTGATCATGGACAGGACAGGCAAGCAGAGAATGATAGTCAAGACTGACTATGGGAAAGGGTTACATACTGACAATTGATCATGAAGATCAGATATATAGCCTACAGTGAGATGTCAAAGAATGCAAACCCTTCAATGTCATGCCCAAGTTATGTTTCACATCAGTGGTGTTCTGTCTTTCCATTTGGCAGCCCCAGCCATTCTCTGGTCATATCTAGGCACTGAT